ACCGTGGCGGCGTCATAAATGCAGGACGCTTTTTCTATCTCATGTATTGTTGGATCCATCTCTTTCTTCCATGGAATTTTCTTAAAAGCGATTTTTCTCTCATTCGATGACAAAATTAAAAATTTTTACCCTTTTTTTCTGGCCTCCTGCACACACAAGCGAGTAAATCTTTAATATTTATTGATTATAATTAGTGAATGAAATTAAATATTTTCGGGAATGTACTAAATGACTTTGTTCACTCAATTCAAAGAGAAATGACAATTTTTTTCCCTCTTTGTTCACTTGATACCATGGCTTGCCAGAGCTTGAAGGCGGCCTTGCTCAAAACCAGCCTACTTATATAGACTTATATTACGTTGGCCCCGAAAAATTGCTGAACCATTATCATACATACTGCTCTTTGATTCAAGTGAAAATATTCCATCAACTCGGTATAACTGCATTCCATTTTCTAGGAATGAAGAAGAAGAAAAAACAGCAGCAAGATTTTTCTATCATTAATTCATATACATAAAGGGGAATATCTATCGCTTAATTTTCGTTTTGTAGATGCCTTTTTATCACATTCTCGCTCACTGTAAAATATTTTATATATTCATATATTCAACCAAACGATGATTTTAACAACACATTGCGCAAACACAACACACACTGACAATAGACCATAACAATGAGCACTATAATATAAACGAACGAGAGAGAAAAAAAAATGTAATAATAAATTACCTAATATTTCGGAAGAGAACGAGCGAGAGAGAGGGTGAGTGTGTGTATAGTAACAATTCGGCTGCTAAAAATGCCTGTAAATTCACGACGGGCCACTGCATTCGAGCAAAATATGGCGGAAAAGGAAACGAAGTAAAGGAAAAGCTGTTTTTCACCATTTTTTTTATTCTCTTTGCTTTGTCCTGTGCTTTTTTCGATTTTTTTTTTCTTTTTTCAGTTTGATTCTGCTTTAATTCATGGCATAAGTTTAATATACAATTCTAATGTTTCAGTATTCATTTTAATAGGCAAAATTTTCCGAATAAAAATCTAGCATGCGATTCTCCGACAAATTTTGTTTGAATTACAAACAACAACAATAGCACAATGAGTCGCAACCGAAAAAAGGCACTCATTCCGACATATTACTGTTTGAGAAGAAAGAAAACTTTTTCGACACATTTGATTGCGAATGGACAAAGCAACAGCAACAGCAGCACTAGTAGCAATGGCAACAAAAAGCGAAATAAACATAAAAATAAAGCGATCAGGGACAACAAACGCAGGAAGGAATTAAGCACACAACATGGTTCAATAAGAGACTATAGAGACACTCTCGACAAAAGGTAGAGATCCGGAATCGATAAATTTTTGAACAATTCACCAAATGCACGAATTGTTACAAGAAACATATGTAATTAAATATCATTAAAAATGAACGCAACTACATGCCCGTATGTCAAATGTGTAATAATATCAATTCACCAAAGTATTTCAATTCGCTGTGTCAGAAATTGAAGGGAAGTGTGACAACCGGAAACGTTTTACTCGGCATTGTTCAAGACATTGTCGACAACGGTGACGACGACTGCAGCAATAATAGCAACAACAAGCTGATAGCTATCATTTTATTGCCACCTCCCTCAAATGACAAAGAACTATGAAATTTGAAAATTGTTGCAATTCATGAGGTTAAGATGCTTCCTCATTTATGACTGTTGTTTAGGCATTCTATGCGCCATGAAAATAAATAAAAAAGAAGCATATACATGTCCAAAGTGAATTACAAGTTGTTGTCGTCGTCGTCGTCGTCGTCGTCGTCACCACCGCCACAGAGTAATGGTGAAACGCAAATACTAACAACAATTCCATTGGACATTTTTATTCTTGGGTCTAGTGTGATTTTTCGCCTCCTTTTTTTACTCACCGTCATTGCAGTTCTCTGTCCCCCATACACACAGACCAGTGCCACTGAAGACGGCCGCCACTTTGTTGTGTTTGCTTCATTTTTTTATCGGGTGTCTCTGTCATTTTCATTTTCCATATCTATTTTCTCAGCTCACTATCTACTTATTTCCTTCTAAATGGACTGTTGTGCCAAAATTGGTCTCAAGACTTTACAGCTCGCTTGTTTGGTCGTTCGCTTGCTCTCGCTCTTTCGTCTCCGCATGATAATGATAATGACAATGAGTTCAACTATATCATCGTAATATCCGTGAACTGCTTCCCTTCAACAGATGCGGGCAATGCCAAAACATACACACTGAGCACAGAAGGTGAACATTATGGAATATAACATGCAAACTGCTATCACATTTACGTTTTATTTTCTCTCGCTCTTTCTCTCTATCTTTTGCGATGGGATGGGTTTTAAATTGCAACTCGTCTCGACAATATGGTTGTTTGTTTTTTTTCTGACATTCGACAGACGAAGCAAAAATCACAAAACTGGCATTCGGACCCAAAAAAGCAACGAGGATAGATAATTTAAATTATTGATTAAAAATTGTTTGTGTGTGTGTGTGTGTGTGTATGCTGTTGTGCTTCGAAATAGAGAAAAAGCACAACCAAAGTTAAAACTCATGTTGTGTTCTATTTTAAAAAGTTTCTTTTTCTCTTTTTTCTTTCTGCCCTTAGGTCATTGGCCACTCGACATCGAAATGCAGAAGGACAGAAATGAATAGCCATATGAAAAACTTACAAGAGACAACTGAAGAACGGGATTGAGAGAGGCGAGCAGAGAGAGAGAGAGAGAGAGAGAGAGAGAGAGAATTTGTGGGCAACAATCGTACAATTTTTTAGCTTTGATTGTCCAAACGCAATTCTTGTTAAAACTTTTCTAATTCAAGGATTGTATCTGGACGTCGCTGCTCGAAATATTACATCATCACTCTTGGCACACATACACACCATACCGCAACCATCTCGGGTGTTTCATCGACATTTCTTTAATTAAATTGGTATTCAGCTTTAGCATAAAATAAATTCACGAAACTTATGTCTGTTTGAATGTTCGGCAGAAATGATTATTTTTTTTATAGATTTAGATACGGAAAATGCAATTATCAATGCAGTTAATGCAATCAAATCAGCACATTTTAGTTTCAATTTATGTGAATTTCAAGCATTAAATAAAGTGATTGAATCATTTCAAACGGAAAATTGATTGAAATTATTTTTTACCCTAAAATCTAGATGCGCAAGTAGAAAAACTTGGAATATGAAATATAAAAATATGAAATTAGTATTCACTGAATACAAATATAAAACTTAATGATGTGCTGAAGGAAAAAAGGCAAGAAAATTAATTTAAATTGTGAAATCGAAACGAAATGAATAAAAAAAATTTACTTGGAAAATGAATGTAATTGCATCACAACAAAAATAAAATTCAAATATTAATGAAAAATTAAATGTGAATTCCATTGAAGAATGAATAAATTCGTCAAAGTACATTCTGATTTTAAATGATGCAACTTCAGAAGAAAACAACGCCCGAAATATTTCAAATGGTTTTGGCTTCATGCCAAACGATCGCATTTTCTTGTGTGCTACTTTACATTCTTTGTTTGATTGCATACAGAGATGAAGAGAATGGGTAAAAAGTTTTTTTTTTCAAATTTGGCGCTACTTGCCTATGAGAATCAGAAATATCGTTTGCGCTTGCTCCAAACAACGCAGTGAAATGCTGCGTTTCTCATAATTTTTTTGTGTAAAAAAGAGTTTTTTCTCTCAAAATCGCTTAAACGAAACGTGTTTATCTGCACTTTTTTACTTTATTTCTTCGCAACTATGGAATAAATGGTTCAGTTCAAACATAAATTTGTACTCATTTACTCAAAAAATCTTACAAACAAACGCGTAAAGAATCCGAAAACGCATTCAAACTAAAAACGCCCATAACGACCACCGTTGCGTTGTGTGCATTCGTTGTCAATTTGTCGTGTGACGTTTACGATTTGTATATGAGTAGCGCTACATTCATACGTTCGACCACTAGTTTTGTCTCTGTCATTTCGTTTATTTGACAGAAGTGGTTCTTTTTGACGCATGTTGATAAATACACACAGTGTTCTTCTTGTTTGTTAATGAGCACTATTGTGGTGTATTCAATCACTTTCTCAAATAACAAGCACATTATAATCACAGGTTTTTCAAGGGAATTTTAGTTTACCTACGATTTTTGTTTGATAAAAAAAAACGAAAACATCACATAGACGTGGATAAACAAAAAGTCCTGCTCAAAAAAACAATGGTCGAGATACATTGAATTGAGCGAAAAACATTTTTGTGAAGACGAATCCCGATAATTTTCCACTCGGAAGACACAAAGTGAACGAAACATAGAATCAACAATTAGCATAACAGCAGAAAAGTGGTGGTTCTTCTGAGCGTCTGAAGAATTGAACGGAATCGTCTCATACACAAACACCGAATATTGTCCAGTAGGATGGAACACATCAAAACGCCGAAGGTACGTAGAGTTGTGTAGGAAAAATGAAAGAAAAAAAAAACAGTATTTTCGGAGATAAACAATGCATCAAACTGAAACTAAAACAGATGAAAAACTTAACGGATCTAACTGAAACGGATGTAAGACATAAAGTAGCATAATTTGAGAATAAACACCAGCCATTCATAAAACTGGCTCATCCGTTACTGTTGTGTCAGAGTTTCCAGATGTTTCAAGGACTGTTTGTGTAGGTTGATTTGATGTTGAAATATTCCTTAATGAATACGTTATCGAACGCAGAATATGGACAGAGATTCACATTGACAGTAGCCATCCGTCGCATCCTTTGCCATAATTGATTGTTTAGCCGCCCCTGTTGGTGCCAATAGAGAAGATTATATATAGTGCACACTACACATGGCACAGTGAAGAATTTTTTGACATGTGTGTGCGGAATTTTTTTTCTTGTTGTATACATTTATTTTTCTGCTTTGCGAAAAATGTGCACGGTTACTGGCGCGCACCAGTGTAATATTCTCCACTTCTCATCGCCTTTTTCATTACATGGATGATACTCAGTCCATCTAACCACTTCGAGTCCGACTCGCTGTCTCTTTTTCACTTATACATATGCTTTGTTTACGTGACATACTACATATACATGAAGGCACACAGATGGAGTGGAATCTTTTCACTGCAGGCAATTTTTAGTGGCAAAAGATGATGAAAATCATAAGCATAAATTGCGACTAATCGCACACACACTGGTGTTGTGTGTATTAAGCCTTTAATTTCTTGTTTGTTTCTTTGGTTTCGACACATTTTCAAAGTGACCAAAAGGAAATCATTTAAAAAATTTGACAGAAAAAAAAAATAGAATTTCGGGTGTGCACTAATTTATTCAATGAAAAGGGTTCAATGGAAAACGAAAATAATACATTTTATTTGTCTTTTTAAATAAAACCACACATAAATTCGTGAAGCTCGTGCGCAACCATGAATATTAGTCAATTTTTTAATGGCAATACTTTGGTGGACGATTTATCGCCAGTGTCTGCATTACGATTGAATTTTGATCAATTGCCCATTGAAACGACCGATACAATAAATCCAACCAAAAATGTATTTGGCGTTGCGGTGCCCGCACAATTTGTACCTGAACGTATCATTTCGTGGTTAGACAATACGAATAGCGACAGTGGTGGTAGTGGTAATGGTGGCGATGGCGCCAACCAATCGGACTTGACACCAAATTCAACCGCATCGGATAAAGTCATATTCAGCAATGACGATTTAAATAATCCAATTATTAAAAAAGTGTGTGGATTGATCGAAAATGCATTTTGCCCTATGAGAGAATGTCCGTTTCTTGGGTTTGACTCAAATGTCTTCTCTTCTACTTTTCTCTAGGTTGACAATGTACGAATGATTGACCGATACAATGTGAAGAATCCGACAAAGGGAACGCTTTACATAACAGCAACGCACATCATATTTGTCGATCCGGAAACAAACAAGGAGACATGGGTAATTGAACACTTTTGGTGACCATTTAATCGACACGTTATTTACCTGGTGTTATTTTTTTTCGTGTTTAGATATTGCATATGCACATTGGAAGCATCGAGAAGTTGCAACTCACCACAACGGGTTCACCACTGTTGATACGATGCAAAACATTTTTGTTTGTCACATTTGTCATACCACGGGAAAAGGAGTGTCATGATATTTATGTTACGCTGCAGAAATTATACCAACCAGGTAAATTTGATTACGACCGATTGAATAAAGAAGAAAATTTAATTGATTTTTATCTGTTGGTTTCTTTTTCGATGATTTTGATTTTAGTTCACATTCGAAACTTGTATTGCTTCCAATACACCTCCAGTAATGAGGAGTTACCCAAGACAACGGGATGGAATTTCTTTTCATTGGAAACAGAATTTAAGCGACAAAATGTACCAAACGATCGCTGGACACTGTGCAATTTGAATAAAACATACGAATTATGTGATACTTGTAAGTGTGAAACGCATTTTGTTTTTTTTCTCGAAACGATTTCGTTACGTAATCACTGCGCATTCTTGCAGATCCAAGACAGATTTATGTTCCATCGAAAGCAACCACCGCCATGTTGAATGGGAGTGCGGGTTTTCGATCGAAAGCTCGTTTGCCCGTGCTCACCTACTTGCATTCGAATCAGGCATCGATTTGCCGATGCAGCCAACCTCTGTCTGGGTTTAGTGCACGTTGCCAAGAAGATGAAGAAATGCTCGAAGCCATTCGCAAGACAAATCCAGACAGCGAATTTATGTATGTAGTGGATACCAGGCCAAGGGTAAGAATTGAAGTATTTTTGTAAAATTTTTTTTTATTTTCTCTGGATTTTTTTTATTTTTTTCTGTTTGAAAAAAAATCGTGACTTACGATTTCCGTTTAATTTTGTCTTTGATGTTTTTTTCTCTCGACTTTTTAAGAAAAACTGCAATTGAAAACTTAAAAAAATAAAAAAAAAAGATTCGTAAATTTTTCATGTAAAAAAACTTGTAGTCATTGTCAACCGGAAATGAGTTTAGTTCATATGAAATTTAATTTTATTCAGTTGATATAAAATTCGAAAATCTTGAAAAAAAATTCCAGATCAACGCAATGGCAAATCGCGCTGCGGGCAAAGGCTATGAAAACGAAGCATTCTACGAAAATATAAAATTCCATTTTCTTGGCATTGAAAATATACATGTGATGAGAACCAGCTTGCAAAAACTAGTGGAGAGTAGGTGAAATTTTGCATTTGCTATTCAATTTTTATTATTTTGAAAATTAAAAAAAATGTAGAAATATTGAAAGATACATATATAAAAATAATAAAACCGAAAAATTTGTCAAAATAATTTTTAGAACATATATGAAAAAAAATATTGTCGAATGGAGTTAGCCTAATTCAATATTTTACCCATTTTAGCCATTTCAATTGATCAAAAGTCGTTGACAATGGGCGGTTTCTTGAATTCCCTTGAAGCGTCTGGTTGGTTGAAACATGTTCGGGCTGTTCTCGATACTTCAAGGTAAGTGGCTGATGGTTTTCGTCGTCGAATTTCATTTTTTTTTTGATATTTTCTTATTTTTAACATTATTGTTCCCTTTTAATATTGTTATCACTTATCGGATTTTCTTTCATTCTTAACATAACGAAAATCAAAGGAAGCATTTCACATATTTATCATATCCTTCTGTTTTCTCATTTTATCATCACAATTTCTAACATCTTTGTCTATTTTTTTCCCCCTTTCTATCTTTCTCCCATATTAGCTTTATAGCATCGGCTGTGGATAAGGGTATTTCAGTTGTAGTACATTGCTCAGATGGGTGGGATCGAACGGCGCAAGTGTGTTCGTTGGCGGCTCTTATGTGTGATCCATTTTATCGTACGATTAAAGGTTTCCAAGCACTAATTGAGAAAGATTGGCTGGCATTTGGTCATAAGTTCAGTGATCGTTGCGGTCACATTCAAACGGATCCAAAGGAAATGTCGCCGGTGTTTACGCAATTTCTCGATTGTACTTTTCAATTAATGCAACAGCGCAACGATGCGTTCGAGTTCAATGAGCGTTTCCTATTAATTTTGCATGATCACGTACAATCATGCCAATTTGGCACGTTCATTGGCAATTGTGAAAAGGATCGGCTGGATTTGCGATTGTCTGAACTAACATTCTCACTGTGGGGATACATGGCAAACCATTTGAATGAGTATGTGAATCCATTGTATCGGCCCGAAATTAACGCAATTATTCGACCAAATTTGGCGCCACAAAGTATTAAGTATGTTCAGGAGAAAAAAAATTTCCTTAGCTTTCATTCCAATTTCGCCTCTAATCAAATTGTTTGGCATTAGGTTCTGGCGCGGAATGTACGGTCGCTTTGAAAGTGGTGTTCATCCAAGGGAATCCATGAATGATTTATTGCTGGCCAGTCAGGATCATACAAATTCTCTGGAGGATCATGTACAACATCTTACCAAACGAATCGGTTACCTGAAGAATTTGATTTCAAAATCAGCAAAACGTTTTCAAAACGCATCCAAACCAAAGTCTAATGAAGAAAGTGATCTTTCTAATGATAACAAGTATGTACTCTAGTTTTTCATCAAGTATTGTAATTTTTTTTTTCAATCGTTAATTTGCGGATTCTTTGGTCTTTTTCGGATTTTCCCAAGAAATTTTGTGGACTTTTGAAGATTTTCAATTTTTTTTTTCATTTTTTTCCTCGCAGATTTGAGTATGATAAGAAAATGAGTGAATTGTCGTGCGCGGATGAGGATCATCCGTTAAAACTCGAAACATTACCAAAATCAGACACCGACGCAGGCGTTGAAGGTATAGCTTACACTTGTAAATAAAGCCCTGAAAAATTGCAAACAATCGCATTTGTCCAAGAAATATGTGCGACAAAAAATATGCCGAGTTTTAATTAGGCTAATTCATTCTATAGGTACAAATCAATTGAGCGACAAAATAACAAAGGAATTGGATTCGGTGGCCGTTGATTGGAAAAGCCTACGTACAACAACTGCATGCAGTTGCACCACACCATTCGACCAATTCAGCCGCAAAGTAAATTAATCCATAGCCATTCATCAACATTTCACTCTAATTTCGTTTCTTCCCTCGCATTGTTGCAGAGCAATTGTTGGCGTTGTGGAGAAGTGTATTGCGTAAGATGCATAAATCATACGATTGAGTTGCCGGGTCATGACAGCAATAAAGCAGCACCAGTTTGTCGCAATTGTTTCCGTGTCGTTCAGCAAAATAACAGCCCATAAATGGATATTGAAGCTGCAACACTTTATTATCTACGCTACTGTTGTTTGCCTGTCGTTTAAATCCGTTAATTGTGAATTTTTTTCAAACACTTTTAAAAGTTTATGTTGATACAACCACAAAAAAGCCAGATATTTTCTTGTTATTTTTTATCATAATTTATAAATATCGTAGACAAATACACCTGCTAAATGACTCTCAATAAATAAATTCAGCTTTGCAAATGTTGATAAACATAAATGTCATTGATTTGATTTCGTGGCATTTTTTTGTATTGAATATTTATTTTTGAGGAATGTATAATTTTACTGGAACATTTTTTGACATGCATTTCCTTGAAAATGAGTCAATTTTTCAATGCTACAAAAATAGACTTATTTAAGCGATAATATTCAAGGTTTCTAACAAACGTTTTTTTTTTTGCTTTTCATTCCCTTATGAATTAATGACAACCTCAGTACTAGAATTATTGAAGAATTTCTTGACAAATTTCACTTGCGGATCATCACGAGGTTTGAATTGAAGTTTTTGTAAATTTTTGAGTAGCCGTGAATTTTTAGAGATTTTTTCTTTGAAAATTAACTTTGGTTCTGATAACCAATATTTTCAAATTTGGGCATCTTTTCGACAAGTACTTATTTAGCATATGGGTATCCAATAGTTGAACTAGCCAATGATTGTCATCAATGTATCGAATGCCATTCGCTTCAATTGCTCTTATGTTGCTAACACAGAAGTTGAATAGCTCGAAATACATGATTTGATGTCGTTCGGTCTCTCTTTCGATTAGAAAATATCTGTCGGGGTATCTTTCCGCGGACAATTCTCGTGCCATTGGCTTAAATCGTGCGCTGATCAAGCCCAAACTTAGTAAACCAATATCATCTGTATGGTTGAAAATTGGCAAAAGAATCTCAGCCGGAAAAATGTTCAAAATTGTCATTTGGTTGGTGGTAATGCATCGGTGCTATTACTTTGATCGTTTGACTTCAAATCCGACACGAAACTCTTTTTTGTTGGTTAAGTCTGCCGATGAATAAAGCCGAAAAAGGAATGAATCAAAAGAATTCTTCCAACTGAGTTAAGGGCAATTTAAATTTGTTTCTTTACCTCGTTGTTCGACTACACAAGGAATGATGAAAATATACAGCGTTTTGTTAAGATGATGTCGAACACTGATTGAAAAAAAGAAAGAAAAGAAAACAAAATAAATTTCATTTCAATTGAATTTTTGAATACATTTTTTCTTCAACAGCTCTTTGGCCTAAGAATCTCTTCACTCAAGTGCATACCGAACGCGTATTGCGAAATTCAAGCAAGTTCACTCATTGGTACTTAAATTGAAAAAGTTTTACACATACACAATTCACAGTCTAAGAACAAAATAACAACTTCTGAACTCTTTGCCGATAAATGAAACGAAAAAAAACTTAAAGCAAAAAAGAAACAAATGAAGTTGCGAGCAAAAGTGACACAAGTGGGCGTTGAGCGGAAAACACGTTTTTCTCATTTTTCTCGCTACTGGAAAAAGACAGCGACTATGCGTCTTCGGCTTATTTATAGTTATTTCCATTTTCTACAATATTGCCGAAGACACGTAGTCGCTATCTTTTTCCAGTAGCGAGAAAAATGAGAAAAACGTGTTTTCCGCTCAATGGCTACTTGTGTCACTTTTGCTCGCAACTTCATTTGTTTCTTTTTTGCTCTAAGTTTTTTTTTCGTTTCATTTATCGGCAAAGAGTTCAGAAGTTCTTTTTTTCATTCTATGGGTGTCAATTGTTGACAAGTAAACGTGCATTGAAAGTTTTCACTAATTTTTATTACTTTTCAAATTTCGAATCTTTTTTTTATATCAATTGTTTATGAAGTTGACGGAGTTTAATGAAATATGACACCTAAACTAACTGACTAAAAATTGTCAAATTTAGATACAACAGACCTAAATCTGAATATTTACGATGATACTAACATGAATTCTCGCTGCATTTATTTTTTCGGCACATTTGCAAACACAAGTGCTTACCTTCTTATCTTTCCTTGGCTATAGGGAAAACTCAAGAGGAAATTATTAAATTACAAAAAATTCAAAGAAAATGCAAGCTATCGCGCCGTTTGTTTTGATGCAAAATGACAACTAAATCTGTATAAGCATAATAAACAGTATTTATATAGTAGACTATGATGCGTTCGGTCGCCGGTATTTGGATCGCACACTGTTTGCGAATTTGTGTGTATGTGTATACGGCGTCGACGCTCCAAAACAAAAGATGTCATATGTGAAGATTGCAGGAGAAAGTGCAATTGATAAAGCTACAAAAAGATTTTATGTGCTACACACAAATGAATATAGTTTCCATAATGTTCGGTATGGTTCACACAAGCAAATTAATTTTCAAAAAATTTATGTATGAACATCTATTTGGCGAACAAAATTCAAGATATAAACCAAATTTTCAGGAATCAATGACAACCTCAATGCTGGCATTTTCAAAAAAATTCTCAACGAATTTCACTTGCGAATCATCACGAGGTTTGAACTTAATTTTCTGTAATTTTGAAAGCATGTTTTTCGTGCTTCCATTAAGATCGATTTCGGTTCTTATTTCCAATATTTCTAAGTTGGGACATTTTTTCGATAAATTGCTCAAATCACAGACATGCCTGTGATCTGCACTATAACCGTAGAAAATCAGGTTTCGTACTTTTGGAAAATATAGGCTATGTAGATAGACTGTCCGGTGTGCGCGAAGGCACAGCGTTGTAAGAAATTTGCAGTGTTCATTGATGACATCACAAAGGCCATCGTTGCGGTCATCCAAAAGATTAGCATCCAAATGCTTTACAGACTTTCCGAACATTTGCAATCCATTGAAATCCTCCCTGAATTCGTCTGTGACAAAGAACTTCCCTCGTTGTCTGGATCGTTGCTTAGCGCGTTTTCTGTGCGGTGTCTTACAGCGTTGTTGAATGTAGTTGTCAACTAGTTGCTTGCTCTCTTCACTAGCCATAGAGAAGGAGTAAAGGCTATCCAAGTCCAAGTAATTGAAAATCAAATTGAGCGGGTGTTTATGTTTACCGGTTGACCATTTCGGAATAGTGGCCAAATCTAACAATCGCAAATCGGAGTAACTGTTGATCGGTTTATAGCCAACCCAATGCAATAGCTTATTCCTCCAAATGATTTCTTCTTTCGTTATGACTGCAATAGCCTCCCCCTTTTCTCTGAATTCCAATCTGAAGTGTGGATTTGGTATGGCTTTGATAAATTCCCTATGGAAATGTAAATTTTTATTGTGAAATGTCTTATCATAGGCCAAGTAGTATTTGGTTTCGATTACAATTTCTTTCAAGTGCTTGCTACTGTTACGTATGATTTCCAAAAGATCATCATCACTGAAATGTTCCATATGTGAATTGTATAAAAAAATCACATGGCGTAGATTTGGCAAATTTTCAACGATTGTCGGAAGATATTCTTGAAAATAACAATTGTTCAGTGAAAGTGTTTCGACTTTGTTAAACGAGCACATCAATTCGATTATTTCTCGTCTTTGATTGTGATAGTACAACTCAAAATGTTTGATACTTTTACAGTTGGAACCAATACTTTGCACCAAACTTCTTTCACATTCATGATACAAGGCCACTCCAAATGATTCCAGAGATTTTAATGCATTCACAAATGGTTCTATAAGAGTACCAACTAAATAGGCCGTAAAACTGTCACATAATCTATAGTCATAATTGTCTGATATATTCAACTCTTTCAAATGTGTTTGGTAGGTGTAAATCAGTTTCATAAGGTCGGGCAATTTGAAATAATGTTCACATAACTTCAGGATCAATCGTTCCATTTGTCGATTATTCAGAAGCACTTGCTCCAGTGATGGTTTTGAGATATGACAAAATTTAAATAGTTCCAATGACTTTAGGTTTCGGTATTTGGGTAGTTGAATGCGATATTCCCCCTCACATGATCCACCGCGAAATGCCAAGTGTGTGATTTTGATATGTTGCGTTAAAAAAAGGTCGACATTTTGAAAAGAACACTCCGTAAAGCACAACTTTTCCACATTTGACGTTTGTTTATTCAATAGTTGAACGAGCCAATGATCATCATCAATGTGTCGAATGCCATTAACTTCAATTGCCCTTATGCTATTACCAAAGAGATTGAGTAGCTTGGAATACATGTTCTGTTGACGTTCGCTCTCTCCTTTGATCAAGAAAAATCTGTCGGGGTATCTTTCTGTTAACACTTCTCGTACCATAGGCTCAAATCGTGCGCTGATCAAACCCAAACTCGCCAAATCAATATCATCTGTCTGGTTGAAAATTGACAAAAGAATCTCAGCGGGAAAATGTTCCAAATTGTCAATTTTTGGTGGCGATTCTTCGTGTTCATTAGATGGGCCATTTGAGTTCAAATCAAAACAGACAGATCTTTTTTCGGTTATTTCAGTCTGCAGAATAGTAGCAAAATTTATTTTCAATAAAAAAATTTCCCAAAATAAACGGATTTAAAATCATACTTTATTCTGTGACTCCATTGAGAGTTGTATTAATATCACAGATCAATAAAACACAACGTTGACGTTTGAATGATGACCAATAAGCGTAATCTGCAAAAAAATCTCATTTTGATATCACAACTCAACTTATTGATACGATTCATGCACGTTATAGAAATATTTATAGTGAAATTTCAGTGAATACGATTTCAGAATATTGTGAAATTCATATGAACTTCTCAAATCTTCTCATTGAAATTTCACAACTCAACGAAATCACATACTGTGATCAATAATACTTCTATAACATTAATGTGCATTTAAAAAAAACATTGTATTTATTAATTCAAAATTGTTGTTATATTTAATTGATTAAAATGAATGTATTTGAATGAAGACATCCACTACTGTAACGAAAGTGTATTTTATTTGTTTACTCAATTATTAATACAGTTACGCACGAATCACAATTTGAATTCATCACAAATCAATGACTAGTACTTACATTTATTCAAAGAACCAAACCCAATAAAAAATGTATTGCATTTGACGCTGAATTAAAAAAGAAGCGAAAAAACAATATTTATCACGCAGTTCGTTATGATTTTGAGTGACAACTAAACCTATGTCAACGCATTGGCTATGTGTATGAACATTGAACACCGAACAGCTGTTGTGAATGATGCGGTGGTCTCCGATGCGTCCGACACTCGAATCGCACTAGACGTCACAAATAATTCACATTCAGAATTGCTTTACGCGAAAATAATTCCGTGCTGAGCACGCATGTAGAAATAGTCTAGAATAAGTTGGAATTAATTGAGTTCCAAAGAAGAATGAATGAACGCATATGCATTGAGTTTTGTTTTAAACATTTTATTCATTAAATTTTCACATATATAAAGAAATGATTAACAATCAACAATAACTTTTGTGCTAGAGTTTTTAAATAATTCTTTAGCATATTTCACTTGGGAATCATCCACGGGTTTGAACTTGATTTTTTGTAAATTTTCGAATGAAAGTGGTTTTTTCCAATTTCCTGTATAAAGTTTGGCTACGGTTTTCATTTCGAATATTTCTAAATTTGGGCATTGTTGTGATAATTTACTTAAATCGCATTCGAATATACCATTTAAACTGTAACTGTGATCGTAGAAGACGAAATGACGTATTTGTGGTAAAATAAAGCGATACGGATCAATATGACGGTGTGTGCGAAAACACAATGTGGTTAAATGTTTACAGTGTTTTTCGATTTCTTTCAGTAGATCCTTAACTCTGTAATCCAATAGGTTCACCTCCAAAAATCTTATGTTCTTTCCAAACATGCGCAATCCTTTGTAATTGATGCCGTATTCGTCTGTCAAAACAAATTTCTGTCGTTCTATGGATCGTTGGTTCGGACGTTTCTTGGAGGATTGTTTACAACGCTGGTAAATGTAACCGTGAACCAGTTGCTTGCACTCTTTACTAGCCATAGAGAAGGAGTAAAGGCTATCCAAATCCAAATAATTGAAAATCAAATTGAGCGGCTGTTTATGTTTACCGGTTGACCCTTCCGGAATTGTGATCAAATCCAACAATCGCAAATTCGAGCGACTATGGATCGGATCGTAGCCAACCCAGTGCAATAGCTTATTCCTCCAAATGATTTCTTCTTTCGTTATGACTCCAATAACCTCCCCGTATTCTTTGAATTCCAATCTGAAGTCTGAATTTGGTATGGCCTCGATAAATTCACCATGGAAATGTACATTTTTATTGTAAACTGATTCATCTTCATCGCGTGTTTCTGATGATCTTTCAGAGTCGATCACAAGTTTTTCTAAATGTTTACATTTGCGCAGGATCGATAGAATTTGAGTGTTAGTGCGATGTGTGAGAATTTGAAGGTACAAGCAACGTAAATTCGGCAAGTTTTCAATGATCGACTCAAGTTGGTCTTGGTATGAACAGTACAATAACGAAAGTGTTTCAATTTGATCAAATGAGCAAACTGCTTCGATTAATTCTTTATTGAAATGCCCGCGAAAATTATACAGCTCCAAGCTTTTGATATCTGTACAGCTGGAGCTCACTTGTTGCAGCAAATCTTTACTGCACTCATTGAAGCTCGTCATTCCGAATGACTCTAATGATTTTAGAACACTTACAAATTGATCTCTGAGACTAACGGGCGAAAAATCCATACCAAAGCTATAGCAGTCCAGTATGTTCAATTCCTTCAAATGGTTCAGGTGTGTGCAAACCAGTTCCATGATGTTTTGCAATGTGAAATAATGATCACAAAAACTGAGAGTCAATCGTTCCATTTGTGAATTGTTCATAAGCACTTTCTCCAGTGATGGTTTGGATATATGCGAAAATTTGAAAATTTGCAACGACTTTAAATTGCGGTATTCAGGTAATTGAATGCGATATTTCTCCTCACACGATCCACTGCGAAACGCCAAGTGTGTGATATTTGTATGTCGTGATAAAAAATCGTCAACATTTTTAAATGAACACGTCTTGAAGCACAGCTTTTCCAGATTTGACGTGTGTTTATCCAACAGTTGAACGAACCAATGATTGTCATCAATGTGCCGAATGTTTTTAACTTCAACTGCTTTTATGCTATCACCAAATAGGCCAACTTGTGTGGAATAGATTTTTCGTTGATGTTCGGACTCTCCTTCGATCACAAAACATTTGTCGGCGTATGATTGATTCTATAGCCAAGTTGGAATAAAAATTCAATACAAAAAACCTTGCCTAATACACTAAAGACAAATATTACTTACTTCGTTATTCGACCCCATTGAGAATATCGAAAATATCACAGATCAATTGTTCAAATGATTTCCAGTTAGTTTCGATTTGACTGAAAAAGAAAAAATAATATTTATTTCATGGTTTATGCGATTCATTGACTTGCATTGATGTGATAAATAATAAGCTCGTATACAATTCAATACAAACATCCACCTCGCTATACAATTTCAGGGTATTGTGAAATTCGAATGAGTCAAATGTGATTGTGTGAAAATCGTATATACAAAATTCGCCGATGAATTTAAACACTTGTCAAAAAATATAAATTGTTTTTATGTTATTTTGATAAATTTCAATTAAATTTTCCGAAAAATCGTGCCAAAAACTTACTTACCTTCACCCACACACAAAAAACAATCACAATAAACGAATGAATTTTGCACAGAATCAAAAATTAACACAAACAAACACAATTTACGGCTTTGAATTGACAGCTGATTCGGTGTGTACGATGTACATAACATAGCATTACAGCCTATCTCAATGCGTTAACGCAGATCACTGCGGCAATCGTCTCCATTTGTGAATTGAACAAACCACTCCGTTCTTTGTCCAATGTGAGCAGCAACGAAAAAGAATGCAAATAAGCAAAGTTGCAGAGAAAAAAGGTCATTCGAAAATTGAACAAAGAACACAAATTTTACGCACGCTTATTAAAGAGCAAACGGCAAATTTTAATATGAATATCAAATTGAGAAAATAAACAGATTTCAAGTGGTCGATTTTCATTTGCGTCTAGTTGTATGTTCAAATTCCTATTCGAAGGATTTCTGATTTGGCGTTGGAAAGTAATGACCATAAAAGTATGTGCATGGAGCCAAAAGTTTTAACCGACCAGAAAATTCCTAGTTTTTAATTCAAAATCCAATTTTATTAAAATTTAATTTGATTTAACGTTTCATACAATTTCCTTTCATAGATTAATAGAACAACATATCGACAGCTATAATTTTTCACATTTCAGAATCAATGACAACTTCCGTGGTGGAATTCTTAAACAAATCTTTCACATATTTCACTTGTGAATGATCAAATGGCTTGAATTTGATCATCTGCAAATTTTCAAATGAATGTTGCACTTTCTTGTTGAATGCACACAGTTTGGCCACCGTTTTCATTTCCAATATTTCTAAATTTGGACATTGTCGCGATAGAAAACTTAAATCACAATCGTATGTACAATCCTTATCATAACCATAGAATATAAAGTGTCGTATTTGTGGTAAAATAAAGCGATCTGGATCAATTTTTTGATGTGTGCGAAAACAAAGTATTTTAAGAATTTTGCAATGCTTATCGATCATATTCAAGAAGTGGCCGATATGGTAATTCAACAGGTTAACTTCTAAATATTTCATACATTTTCCGAACATTTGTAGCCCTTTGTTGTCTATACCGAATTCGTCGGTGACAAAAAACTTTCCGCGTTGTATTGACCGTTGTTTGGTGCATTTCTTCGGTGATGGCTTACACCGGTGTTGGATGTAATTGTGAACGAGTTGCTTGCTCTCTTTACTTGTCATACAGAATGAGTAAAGGCTATCCAAATCCAAATGATTGAAAATCAAATTAAGTGGTTGTTTATGTTTACCGGTTGACCATTTCGGAATAGTGGCCAAATCCAACAATTGTAATTTTGAACGACTCAAAATTGGATCGTAGCCAACCCAATGCAATAGCTTATTCCTCCAAATGATTTCTTCTTTTGTCACGATTCCAATAACCTCCCCTTTTTCTTTGAATTCCAATCTGAAGTGTGAATTTGGTATGGCCTCGATGAATTCCTCATGGAAATGTGCATTTCTCCTGTATAGTGATTCGTCTTCATTGTATCGTCCTGTCCATGTATTTTCTGGTTCGATTATCAGTTTTTCCAAATTCGTACATTTCCGTAAGATTGTTAAAATTTCATCGTTGGAACAATACGATATTTTTGAAATGGATAAACAGCGTAAAAACGGTAGATTTTCAATGATTTGCTCGATTTTTTCTTGATTCGAATACTTAAGCAGTGAAAGTGTTTCAACTTTATCAAACAAACAAACTGCTTCTCGGTTGATTAGTTCTCTACTGAAATATCCGCATTGAAAATTGTACAGTTCCAAGCATTTAATGCTTTTACAATTGGAACCCATACGTCGCAGTAAATCTCTGGAGCTTTCATTGAAAATTGTCATCCCAAATGACTGCAATGACGTCAGTGCACTTACAAATCGATTCATGAGACTAATGGGTAGAGAAATATCTCCATACTTTTCATAGCTATCTAATATATTCAAAACCTTCAAGTTTTTGAGATGAGTGTAAACTAGTTCCATGATATTTGGCAATGTAAAATAATGATCACAAAAGCTGAGAATCAATCGCTCCATTTGTGGGTTATTCAAGAAGATCTGCTCCAGTGATGGTTTGGAAATATAAGAAAATTCGAATAATTCCAACGACTTTAAATTACGGTATTCGGGTAGTTGAATGTGGTATTCCTTTTCACAGGACCCACCGCAAAATGCCAAATGTGTTATTTTGATATGTCGCGACAGAAAATGATCGACATTTTTAAACGAACACTTTTTGAAGTACAACTTTTCCAGATTCGGTGTGTGTTTATCCAATATTTGAACTAGCCAATGATTGTCATCGATGTTTCGAATGCCGATAGCTTGAATAGCTCTCATACTGTTGCCAAAGAGGTTGAATAGCTCGGAATACAAGTTTCGATGTCGTTCGGTCTCTGCTTCTATTTGAAAATATTGGTCGGCATATCTTTCTGCAAACACTTCTCGCACCATCGGCTCAAATCGTGCACTGATCGAACCCAAATTCAGCAAATCATTATCATTGATCTGTGCGAAAATCGCCAAAAGAATCTCAGTCGGAAAATGTTCGAAATTGTGTATTATTAATGGTAATCCATCGGTATAAAATCGGTTCTTTGAGCTCGAATCAGACATAGAACTCTTTTTGGATGATTTTTTCTGAAAATAATCGACAAAATGGCGCATATTTAATAGACTTGCTTGGAGCTATTCCATTGCGTATCTTACTTCATTATTTGACTCCATTGAGATTAATATTAATATCACAGATCAATCGAATACTACGTTGATGTAGAGATGATGATCAAAAGGTTGCCTGAAAAAGAAAAAAAACACCTGAAAAGTTCAGATTTTAATGAATTTCAATCACCAGCATGAGCCTATTATCATCATTATTATTCATAGGGGACTTTGCTGCAGGTTGGCTATTACTTTATAATTTGGTCATAATTTTGTCTGGAGGTAACATTTACAAAAGTGAATGGTACCGCTGGATAGATAATGTCCAGAGCTATTATTTTGCCAAAGAAACATACGCGATTGCTTTTCAAAAACAAAATTTATGGTCAATTTTCTGAAGGTGCTGAAAATGGCGAAAAAAATTTTGCTGCAGGTTGAGAATTTTTAAAAATGGCATAATACGTGCAAATAAATGATATAAATGAGATATATTTTCATTTTTATGAGGATTTTATTGTTATATAATGCATTAACAATAAATTTGGATGTCAAAAGATACTCTTAGTAAGCACCAAAATCGATCTTCCTTTTTCGAGTCGGTATGTTCGTTTTCGAAATGAAACTTAATAAATTTCCAGGAAAAAAAAGACTAAAATGACTTATATGCACTTCAACGATGATTCAGTGATGATTTACAAACGAAATCAATACTTAAATCGTTTTTATGCATAATTTACTAAAATTTACCTATTCTCAACCTGCAGCAAAATCACTTTCTCAACCTGCAGTTTTATAGACATTTTTTCCGAGACTCACAATTTTTTCATTTCAACACCACAAAATGCACATAATTCATGTTGAATCATAAAGAGAAATGAAAATACTATAAAATAACGCTTACCCGACTCCTTTTTCTATGCTAAATGTCAATTTATAACGCTTGGCAAAAACCAGAACAACATTTTTTCACACAAAAAATCACAGTCGAATTGGAAGTGTATCAAAACAAATGCCAGTTCTGTCGAAACAAGTCTCAAAACTGATAATGCATTAAACTAAGACTTTGACAGCTATTGCGATGGCGGTATCATCACGTATAGTGAAAAAAGTGACGTTTCTCAACCTGCAGCAACGCTCCCTACTTGTTTTTATTTGTATTATGATCAAGCTCTTTTGTTTGAGACAACATTAAATATCAATTATTATAAGTTTTTCTTTCATCAATCTATAATTTTTATACATATTACAATGTCTTTGTGAGTTGCAGATCGTAGCCAATGGCTACTAGTCATCCATTTTTTTTTAAATTTCAATTCTCTTGCTTTACTCAATATTCATTACAACAGCTGTAAAGATTTTGCGTTGAACAATATCACAATCTCATTTCTATTGACTAGATCGAGAGGAGAGTAAGTTCATCTGACTTTGTTGTGAAAGAGAAGAGTAAGTTTCTTTCGACTCAAAAATGGTTAAAGGCGAGTATGTTCATTTTTGGCGGGTCCTCGCGGTTTTCCACGGTTTCCGCGGAACTGATAAGAGATAACAACTTGGTGTCTTCGGCAAAGTTGTAGCACTCGAGGTCTTCTATAACATTGCTGAAGTCAGTTATCTCTTATCACTTATCAGCTCAGCTAAAAGCGCGAAAAATGATAAGAAAAAAAAAGTTCTATATAAAATTTGTTTTTTTATGTGCGCGATTTGCGCGCAACTGATAAGAGGTAAGAGATAGATGTCTTCAGCAATGTTAAAGAAAACCTCAAGTACTACAACTTTGCCGAAGACACTATGTTGTTATCTTTTATCAGTTTCGCGGAAACCGTGAAAAACCGCGGAGGCTAGACGGGATGCCAACATACTTCCTTTTAACGCAGATAGAATCAACAGAAATCATACTCTCCTCTTTCAAAATATATTGGAATTTTTTCACATACTCTCCTCTCGATCTAGTCAATAGATTTGGTATTCAATTTCATTTAGAAGAAAAAAAGTTCTATTAAAATTCCACTTGGTCACTTATCCGATCTTGTAACATTAGAAGGTAGTACCTATTTTTTATTACCTAATCATCATGTACTTATTATCTCTTATTTTCATGATGATCAAATGACTAACGATCAGTCTCTAGACCTTCGGATATAATTTGAAATTGCAGTACATTTTGAAATAATAACGTATTTTGTCAGCGTTTTGACACATTCAATCGCTTGAAGTAACGCGCGCGTTTGACGCATCAAATTCAAATATCTGTGCTAATTATTATATTATTTTCATCAAAATTGTAGACATGACTATATCAATAACATAATATAGTAGACATGAATAAGATCACTCATCAATACTAACCGATCCAAACAAAATTGCGTATTACAATAATATTAAACTGTGTGCTTGAATTTTTACACAATTTTCATTTGCTATTGTTGATAATTACGTGTTCGACACGGTTCAATGACTAATACTTACCTCTATCAAAATTAGAACAAAAACTAATGCAAAAAAGTTGAATGTTGCAGAAAAAAAATGAAAATAAAGCGTATAAATGATATTTTTCGCGCAGTTTGTTATGGTTCCAACTGACAACTGAGCATCTTTTATATAGAATCGGTCGCATCATTGCATTTACGTGTTGCGATCAGTAAGACAATCGTCTCATAAGCTGTCATGGCGATCAGACGGTCTAAATTAAACCGGTTTGTTCATGGACGTATGCGCACAGACTTGCCGCTTCAAAGTAATACATGCCTTTATGTCAAGTGTAAACAACAATATAAAAAAGAAGTTTTTTTTTGTTTTACCACCCATTCAATGTGATTATTGCGGTTTCGCTATTGAAAACTTGAAAATCATATATATTTTTTTCTGCATCAGAGATCACACAGATCAATTTATTTGGTCAACATATAGTAACATTCAATATGCATGGCCAACATTCAGGAATCGATGACAATCTCATTACTGGAATTTTTAAATAATTTTCTTACAAACTTCACCTGCAAATCATCAAAGAGGTTTAAATTTGAATGTCTGCTTGTCTCGTGGCTTTTCCTTATCAAATGGTTTTTAATCATCTTCGGTTTTCATTTTCAATATTTTTAACATTGGACATTGCCGATTGTTTTATTTTCGTTCGATTCGACAACTAAACCTCTACGTGTATGACATCATATGACAGTATATGTATCAATGCATTGACGTGGGTCAGTGCGGCGGTCGTCTTCTATACAAGTCGCTAGTGGAATTGATCGGTAGTCATATGAATCAACGTAAGAGAAGGCAAACAAAGACAACACTGAAGTGTTAAGAAATTGGGACATTCTACCTCTTACCATATCAATTCAATGGAGAATTCGAATTGAGAGTAATAATAGTGGTTGTACTAGTGATCAAGCCATGATTCAAAAATCATCAGTTTTATTGTCAAAAATTTGATAAACATACAAATAAAACAAGAATTATCGTTTTGCATTGTACAGAGTACATAAGTGAATTTATTGGGTCAAAAATATTCAAAATTCATAACAAACGATTAAAAATCCATCACAATTTCAATACCAGAGTTTTTGAATAACTCCTTAGCATATTCCTCCTGGGACTTATCAAACGGTTTAAACTTAATCTTTTGTAAATTTTTAAACGAAATAGTTTTCTTTTGATACGGCCCCGTATAGAGCTTAGCCACAGTTCTAATTTCGAGTATTTCCAAATTTGGACACTTTCGCAATAATTCACGTAAATCACAATGGAATAGGTATTCTTTGTTCAAGCCATAACCGTAGAAGATAAAATGCCGCACTTGGGGTAAAATAAAGGTGTGCGGATCAATTCGATAGCGTGTGCGAAAGCATAATTTTGTTAGAAGTTTGCACTGTTTATCGATTTCTTTCAGAAGATTCCAGGCTCCGTAAAAATCTAACATGTACACATCCAGACATCTGATGCATTTTTTAAACATTCGCAATGCATCGTAATTGATACCGAATTCGTCTGTTATATAAAACTTCTCTCGATCAATTGATCGTTGTTTAGCATTCTTTTTTGATGGTTGTTTACATCGTTGTTGAACATACTTGTTGACCAATCGTAAGCTCACTTTGCTAGCCATGCCAAACGAGTAGAGACTATTTACATCCAAATAATTGAGAATCAAATTGAGCGGCTGCTTATGTTTACCGGTGGATCCATTCGGAATTGTGGCCAAATCCAACAATCGCAGATTCGAGCGACTGTGAATCGGATCGTAGCCAACCCAGTGCAACAGCTTATTCCTCCAAATGATTTCGTCTTTCGTTACGATTCCAATGACTTCACCGTTTTCCTTCAACTCCAATGTAATGTGTGGATTCGGCATGACCTTGATAAATTCTTCATGGAAATCTGAATTTTTCCTGTAGATCGACGGATCTTCAACGACACGTCCGGGTGTTTCGGTTTCGATCACAAGCTTTTCCAAATTCGTACATTTGCGCAAGATCGATAGAATCTGAGCGTTGGTGTAGTGTATTTTATATGAAACAGACATACAGCGTAGATTCGGCATATTTTCAATGATCGACTCTACATGCACTTGATGTGGACAGTTTAACAGTGAAAGTGTTTCAATTTGATCAAATAAGCTGACTA